GCCTCTCGCCACGCTCGGGACTCGACGGCACTGCTCGACTCGAAAATCATGATACAGTCTCGCATTCCACCTACGTTTTCGGCTGGGCGATCGTGGCAGTGCCATGGGGGGGCAGCCGGTTCACCTGCGTATTCTTGCCCGCGCGCGCAAAACTTTTTGATGGGATCCCAGTGTCACAGTGGTCAGTGTCAACAGACACCCGGCGGGCGCACGTCCACACACACTGTCATTAATACATTGGCTAGTGACTTGTTGCAAAAAGTCTGTGGTGCAAAACCCGCCAAATACTACCAAAAACGATGTCACGGCCAGCTCGGCACTATCTACTCAAAAAAAGTGACGTAGAGCACCCACTTTTTAAGCGGTCCGCGCACACACAAGGTCCGCCTGCGTGCGCCGCCAGCTTCTCAGGGCCATCGCGCGAAAAACGACGGAGGAGATGCATCCTAGCTGTCGCCACCGAAGGCGACTCGACGCCGCTGAGATCGGAGATCAAGCTCTGACACGTCGCACGTCGCTCCTTTGACGCCGACGTGACTTGCCCGTGCAGACCATATCAGGACACGGTCTGGACGCGCTCGGTACGACGCCTGCGACCCGTCTTGGGTCAGGTGGCACGACGCTCATCGCGCCTGCCAGCGCTGCCGTGCAGGCTGCCACGACGAGGTCGAGCACGCTTCTATACGCTCGTCCAGCCTTCCTTTCCATCCCATTAGGCAGCCTGGGAACGGTGGCGGTCAGAGGCAAAGCCTACAAGGGGTGGTGGTGGAACCACATGTCACGGCTACTGCCGGCTCGACCCCACGACAGCCTCCGAAGGCTGACTTTGAGGCACCATCATCGGACGATGTCGACGAGTTGGGTCGCTCTCGCGGTAGCCAGATGACCTCGACGTCCGGGGGCCTGCCCGTCGTGCCACCGACCAGAAAAAGAATGTGGGCGCGGGCGATACGGGCGCCGCTAGGCTCAACGAGGAAATGCCGTGCCCCGTTTAAAGAGCTCGTAGCGCGCTCGATTTTGATGAGAATTTGATGAGAAATATCTCAATTTCTTGTTTACACCCGAGCTATGCCCCACGACCTGAGCCGGAGCCTGCGCAGAACCTGTGCTCCTCCCATACGATCGTATCAGGCTATGCTCCTGTCACGCGCTGGCTGGCCTGTGGTCGCCGTCCTATTTTACACGAGCACACGAACCATCAAGGTTGTTTTATGCCCCGCTCCCCCCCCCCCCGCCAGCGGCTTGCAGCTCGGCACGTCCATCGCCCTCGACGCGTTCGTCTTCTACTTCCGGGGAGCGACGCCTAGCGCACCTGCCGCAAGTGCCCCGGGCGCGAGTGCGGGGCGCCCTGCGCCGTTCGATGCGGCGAGATGGAGGGGGTACGTGCAGCTGCACGCCGAGGAAAAGAAAACCCACCGGCTTGAAGAAAGCATCTGCTACAAGCACGCAGTCTCTCTGTTCATAACTGATCGTGTATAAAAATGATGTTGCTAAGCACAGGAAAGTTCGTAATCCCGGAAGTCTGCATCATGTGTGTGTCTCGCGCCTTGCGGGGGGGGGGAGCGGAAAGGAGGAACCTCTTCCCAAGAGCACCACTCTCTTGGAGCGCCGCCACTGCCACTCAGAGCGCTGCAAGCAGCGCCGGGCAATGACGGCTTACCGCCCCCCCAGCCCCCCCTCGGCACACCCCGGCAGCCAATGTGTGACGGCTCGAACCCGCTAAGCCATCCCGCAAGCGGAATGGCCCGCCACTCGAACCCGCAAGCGGGCGTACGAACCGCGAGCGGCTCGCACTCGTGGCACGCAGGCGTCCGCCAGACGGCGCCGGGGCTAGGCGACCGAAGAGGAACTACGGCAAGAACCGCACACCACCCGCTGACGAGCGCTCGCAGAACAGGTTCGCGGCGCCCGCCAGGGGCGTGCGCGAGACAGGGCTCGGAGCCCTTTTCTGTGAGCAGGGATTCCCTCACGGCGGGGGTTGTGGCGGAGAGCCGTCATGGGAATCGCCGGCCCCCACCCAGGGGGTGCCCCTGCCAGGCGCCGCAAGCGGTGCCCGACTGGGCCGCCTGTGCCGCATGCGCGAGATGGCACGAGTAGCGGCGGCCCTCGTCGTGATAGGGACACGCCGACGACAAGAAGGTGCCACACCAGTGGCTCGGAGCCCTGTGGGGGGTTGCGAGCATCCTCTGGCGGGAAACTTGGCGAGCGCGTCTCCGTCGCCTACGTGTCTCGAGTTCTCGCCGAGCGGTGCGTC